AGCCTACTTTTGAGTCTTATAAAAGACTCACGACTTTGCAAGTGAGTGTTACATCCACTCTCCTTCTTTAGTATATGATTTCCTTAGAAGCGGAGAAATGATGGGAAGAAGGAAAGAAAATCAATATTTGGAAGTTGAATAGCCCTCGGATGTGTATTCATTTTCCTCTCAATTCACCCATTTCTTACATGTGGCACACAAAGCATTTTACAATTCTGAATGTGATTCTCGGTCTAAGACAAAACAACCACCCATGTTCAACAAGGAAGCCTATTTTCTATAAATATATTCTTCTTCTGAACTATAATTCAGAAGCATATAAAAAGCCAAATTAATTTTATACAAAGTTTGAATATATTTTGCATGTTTAATTCTTAAGTTCTTTCATGAAATATTAACCTGACTTCCCTAGAATCATGAAATTTCAAATTCATACATTCAAGTATTGGACAGCAGGGGAAAAAACACTACCACTGGCCCAAAATATATAATTACTTACCTCTTGTTCTACATATTGAAGGAGGTAAACCCAACCTGTAAAATCTTGTGGGTTAGTTTCAACTACTTTCCAAAACTTGTCAAAGTCAGCAGGGAATGAATTTTCAGGATCAGAAGTTTTTACAGTTTCTGTATCTGGTATTTCAGTGTCCTGAACAGTCTCTTCCTGGGAATTGGCAGCAGGAGAATTGTCAGGGGACTGCTCCATCTCCATGACACTCATGATCTCTGTGCTAAAGTCAGCAGGCTGCTCATTCTTGGCCTCAGTGTCCTTACCCATGTTCTCACTTTTCAAACTGCTGCTGTCTTCTATATGTTCTGAACTCTGCATAGCGACTGATACCTTTTTATCTTTATGAAGTAATCTGTAAATGAGAAAATGATTAGCATCAGTACTATCTGTTGATTTTTCATTAAACAATACCAACATCCGACTTTTTAAAATAAATGTAACATTTGATAGAGTTAAAATAAGTTAGATGAATTAAAACTGAATGAATGAGTCAAGTCTTTCTAACATATAGACTGAAAGCAAAGTATAAGGCAAATATCAGAGTAAAAAACATTTTCCAGCCCATTTAAGCCCAACTAAACTACTCTGATTAATAAGTGGCTAAAATTCTCACTGGATTAAACAATAATGAATAATTAACATGCTACTTTAGCATACCTCTGTTACGCACAAATTACAAGAAAAATGAAAATATTTGCATTGTATTTCATAACCTAAAATATCCAAATAAAGTGCTACATTAATATATCTGGCAGTACTGTTTTCACTTCCCATTAATCTCTACCTCAGAATTCCAACAGAACCAAATATTTTCATCTAAGCATCACCTTCTCTATTCTCAATTACCAGTTAAAACAAATAAATAAAATATGATTTGGATCCTGTTTCCTCACGTCCTAGTCTCACAGAAACAAATTCCAAAAAATTCAACTGAATGGGAGGGGCAGGTGGCAACTGAGTCTGTCGCACAAGAGATAACTTACTCATTCAAATCATTGGCAAGTCGAAAGTATCGTTGGATTCTATGTTTTCCCGTTTAGTCAACGGGATTAGATGTTAATTTTTTACCGTTCTTCGGGTTAGTGTAGAATAAGGATTTCTCGTACGTAGGCGAGACTATTAGGGATTTACCATATTTTTCCGAGTTCCCTTCGTAATGGACGATTGAAATCAGTTCAACCTTGATGGACTGAAACTACACGTATCCTCCCACAATGCTTCTGAATTTGTTGGTACTAGTTAACAACTATAATCAAGATCTTTCTAGATGACAAACAGAGCAGTCTTTAATTGGGATAATAGAATTATCTAAATTCCCAAAGTCGTTCTGTAGGAAATGAATTTTAAGTATAATACTTTTAGAACACAAAGAAACCCAAAAGCTTTTGAATGTGTTTGCAGAGAGGTACTTGGGACTCTTTCAGCTTCTCTACAACAAGTTCAAAAGCTTTTGGGTTTCTTTGTGTTCTAAAAGTATTACACTTAAAATTGCACCCAGAAGCCGACATGAGGTGTAGAGAGCAAGAAAGAAGGCACAGTAAATGAATAATATAACTTTCTTCCAGCTACTTCTCACTTTCTTTAAATCCCTTCTCAAAGCCAATTTTTTCATTAAGTCTTTCAAAACGCTTAGTTCCTATAAGGCATTTTAGGCATCTGAAGTTGAAAAACCCTCTTAATTCTCCGTATTGTTTCCTTTTTAGTGGCAAACCCACCGGCCATGAAGCCCGTTCTCTTGTATCCTTTACTGTACTTTGACCGTTGAAAATATACCGAGTCAGATTTAGAAAAAAGAAAGTTACGTATTTATTAGAAGGAGCGATGCAAGCGAACGCGGGCATAATGACGCCTTTCTCTCATGCCCTAAACCAGCTTTTCCCAAGCCCTTTTCTAAGCGTGAGAGATTACAGCCCAAAGCCACATGGCTGGAAATCACCCGAGTTATATATAGTTCAACACACACCGAAAGCGCCAATTTGGGCAAAGCAATCCTAGTTAAGAGAAATAAGGCTGGGAGAAACTCGCTAGGCGGGACTTCTTGACTGAAGCTCCGCCGGTCATTCCGTCCCGGGGCCGAGGAAAAAGGAAGCTTTAGAGTCTCCCGCCCTTCGGGTAACGACGCCAGAGCCAGCAAATTCTTTCCTTGGGTTCACCCCGTTCCTTCCACAAAGAGTAGTAGAGAAAAAAGCTGCTTCCCTCTCACTTGCGCGCGCGCTTGGTCCCCCCCCCCCGCACACACGCCTTCGACCACCGGAGGGGGGAGGGGGAGGGGGGGATACAGAGCCGCCTCAGGCCGCGTCAAGCTCGAGGGGAGCGGGGAAAGAAACCAACGATGGAGGCAAAGTCACGGGACGTAGGTCGGAAGGAGCGGGGTCACCTCTTTCCTAGCTGCCAACCGCCTCGCCTCAGACAGCGTGGCTGGCGAAGCGGTTTCCTTTTTTTTCCCCTTTCCTTTTAACCTTTCTTCAAACCTCTAACACGCACACGAGGAGGCTTCTCGTTCTTTCGCCCGTTTCCCTACAGACCTGGCGCGTGTTCTCTGCCATCGGTCCCGCCCGCTCAGCCGTCGTCCTGACTCTCTGAGCGGCCTCCGGTCTGCCCGCCGTCCGAATGAGCGTACTACGCAGGTGCGTCAGATTCAAGGCCTCTTTTTTTGGGCCCAATCTGACTTGCGCCGCCGGCGGGAAGAAAGAGGCGCATGCGTGGTAGCGCCCAGCTGGAGACCCGGAAGACAACCCGCTGAAAGAACATGCACCGGAAGGAGTCCTGCTCGGCCTTCCTGCGACGTGGCTGTTGCATGTCTCTCGATGAGAGACAGGTATCAGTCCGCGTGTTTGTTCTGGAGGTGGTTACGGGCCGGTTTAGACGTAATTCTTATTTCTAGTTAAGTCCTTCTGCGTTTCTCCAGATGTGGACGGTGTGTAGTTCTAATCATGTTCAACTAAAATGGCGGCATAACTAGTCATTTAAATTCATCCAAATGCCTCCTCTACCCTGATAATGGTTTAATTTCTTTGGGAGCTGCGAACGGGCGATTATTTTGTTTGCTTCTGTGTGCAATCTGCGGAATTGGAGGGCATAGCTGACATGGGAAAACGCCATAATTTTGATGTTATTTGCTGAGTAGATAAAGGAAGGCGTCCTAAATCCTCTAGAATTTAACTGTAACTAGAAACGCAATTCTGAGCGTCTCTTGCACTACTGAATAATTACCTCGGAAAAACGAGTACCCCTGCAAAGTTCATCCACTGCCAAAACAACTGTGCTCTTTTAAGATTTGTTCCTGTCATTGTAATGTGTTAATTCTGAGTTATTGAAGAAAGAAGTTATGTGATCATCACTTAGATTACAGTAAAATACTCACTTTGCCAGAAGTTATCAAACTTGGTACCGAAAAATCTCATCTGTCTCCTGACCTATGCTGAATGACTTCAGTCAATTTTTGTTTCCATTTATAGTGAAGCATGCTTCTTCTTCTTGTGCCATATCTGTTACTGGACGTTGGCGATCATGTTTTTTTATCAGCAGCCGCACGAAAAAGTGCTGCTGAGTTTTGTCCAAACCAGTCCCTTAGATTTTGAAGCCACAATGTTCTTCTTCTGTCTGGACCTCATTTGCTTTCAATCTTTCCCTGGAGGATTAAATGGAGTATGCAGTATTTTTCTGGGTGTCGCATCACATGTCTGAAATATTCTAATTTTTGTTTTTTTAATTGTTTTGATGATTTCTCTTGGCTTTCCCAGGCGGCTTATCACTTCATTTCTGATCTTGTCAACCCAGCTTATACGTATGTAACAGCCGCCTGTAAATCCACATTTCAAATGCTTCTAGTCTCTTCAGGTGGCCTTCTGTCAGAGACCAGCTCTCTACTCCATAGAGCAGGATAGAAAAAATATAGCATCTGACAAGCCTGATTTTCAGTCTTAGGCTTATGTCGTGAAGCATGCTTAACAAAGACAATTGAGCAATCTCGTATTAAAAATGCTTGTAGATTACACTTAGGTGGCTGACAAGGGCCATTGCAAAGCAATACATGAAGAATGGAGGCCTAGAGCAAAAAGGGAAGCTTGATGAGAATCTTGGGGGGAGAGGGTAAAAAAGGTAAATTTAAAGAACAAAAGAAAAATGTATGAAACGCCGTATGAATGTGATGGGACCAAGGACAGGAATGAATAGTATTGGTGAAAAAACCCTTATGGGTTTCCTTTTCATATTTCTTTACAATTTCTTAGTCCTTTTCTGGGCAAACCAGGAGAATGAGTTCTAGTCCTGCCATAGACACAAAGCTAGCTGGTTAACTTTGGCCCAGTCATGTCCTAGGAAGGAGGTGATGGCAAACCACTTCTAAATAATTTTGCAGGCTCTGGACACAATTGAATGGAAATGTGTCAAGTAGTTAGAACTTATTGTTTCAAAAACAATAATCTTCAAGACAAACAAATCAGGAAAGGGAAATAAACCACATTACAGAAATAAAGCCATTTATTTTTATAACTTTTTTATCTTTCAGATGAATACAGTACTTGTAGGTTTCATATTTTGAGAGCAGAACTGGCACTATATTGCTGAGGATTGCACATAAGGTCAGAAAAGTTAACACCTTTATAAATTTTGGACAGATAAAATTCAGTAATATTTTTCACACTAAAATATGGAAGCTATATTCAACATGTGCCATTTCTTTTAAGACATGTTCAAAATCTGTAAAAAATTATTTTCTATAAATTTTGGTCAACATGCTTCATTAAAACCTTTTCCAAGTTTTACAACAATGTGCAGATAATTATGCTCAACTGTCAAGCAGATGTAATACATCAACAGCAGCAAAAGCAAGCTAATACTGCACAATCATGAGTGGGACTGATTTTTAAAATACATTTTTTTTCCACAAATATCACACAAAACCCTGTTCATGTCTCTCCGAAGTCCCTCCCCCCCTTTTAAGGCTATATGAGAAGACATGTCATAACATGATTTCATGATTAAAACTATTTCTAAATTTCATCTTTGTTAGTACACACAGGGCGCCATGCCACCAAGTCAAAAAGAGTGCAAAGAAGCAGAGTTGACTTTGCTTTCACAGACATCCAATCCCGATTCTACAGAATCTTGGAACAGCACCAGGACAGGAAGTACATTTGCAAGTGTCATACTGATTTTGGTTTCAGCCTAGGACTTCAACTGGAAAAATAAAGTCCTAAATGGTTGGTCATTAAAAGCAGTCAGTCCAATTTCATTTCTGCATGAAAAGCACAAACATAATAAAGGCAGGCTGCTTGAAAATGATCCATTCCAGACCATGTAAAACTGCTGTTATCCAGAGCCTATAATAATCTTTATGTCCATGTCAGAGTCTGCTTCAGGTAGTTTGGTCAAAAAATTCCTCCAGAGTTCTTTTTATGTGTGGGGGCTGAGATGCAGCTTGGATCAACAGATTCTGACCCATTTGTGCAAAAAGTGCTTTTGACAGTTTAGCAGTGGCTGCCCGAATATTTCCACCAGCTCCAGGTAAGGAACCGCTGTTTGTCATGTTGCCCAACAAATGCCATAAAACCACCAAGACTTTCTGCTCCACTGCATGAGGCTTCCGGGGATACAACTCAACAACAAGTTCTGAATGCAGGAAAAGGACCAAGGAAGAGAGAGTTATTTTTCATGTAAAAATATGGCAAGATGTTGACTCCCCAGATTATATCCTAAAACTGAAAAGAAATTCTATCTTAATATAGTCTTTTCAAGAATGCTATTGTACAAATTCAGAAGCAACTGTTGTGAAGTATGAACATACATACTGCATACAGAAAAGTTAAAGGATCTTCTATAAACATGGTAAATATTAGAAGAACAAATATATTTCTACCAAACAAATTTGTACCAATAGAAAACAAATCTGTATTTTGATTTCAAACACTTCAATGGAATAGAATATTAACAGGCCATACTACATTTACTTTTCAGTTTCCTGTATTGGCTGTGAACTTCAAACTAAAACTATTGCCAACCCTGCAATACAGAAACACTTGAATAAAGAGTCTTGAAAATACACGAGAACTTATTCAATATAGATAGATCAGTCTCACGGAGAAAAAAAAATCAGATGAGAAAAAAAAGACATGAAGCATAAAGAAAACTGCTGAAAGCCTTACCAGCTAGTTTTTCAGTTATGTCTTGTTTGGCTTTTCCATTCAGAAACTGGGCCTTAGTGCAGAATGGCTGGAGAAGCAGGTAATTGTCTTGAAGCAAAGGAAACAAGGACATAAAACACAGGATTTGCTTCAGGAGGTTTAGCTCTGAGCTCTAATAACAAGAATTTGGTATATAACAATAAAGATGAAACAGAGTTTGGAAGATGGCAAGGGGATAGAAAAATTTAGTCTCAAGTTCCAGAAATCCCAGAATCTCAATGGATGAATTTACATGCTACATTAAATTGAAGTATAGTTTATTTAGTTTCACTTAGCATGATGGTTTAATGCAGCTATTGTGTGTTGTGAACTACAATGTTTGGTGCTGGGTAGGGTGGAGAACACTCCTACTTTTTCATTGTCTATGGAAATTCTCAATCATCCAGGTCATAGCTATCCCAAAGGTGCTTTTTTCACAAGGTAGCTGGACTTTGTCATTTCGTTTCTCATTCAAGAAGCTTCTTCAGCTCTGACTCAAGAAAAGCACCTTTGGGACTGCTTTTTCATTGTTTTTAATTCTGAATGTTAACTGAGAAACATGACATTGCAGTGATATTACAGAATGGTTGACTATTTTTAAAATTGAGTTCTATTGTGGCAGTAGGGTTATAGAAAGTAGGCAACATTTTACCACTGAAATTTAAGAGAAGAATAAGACAGAAAAAAAATAAAGGTATGGTATCAAAAACTGCCCAAAGTTCCCTAGGTGATCGAGAGAGCACACAAATAGATAAAAATAAATATCGGTCACCATATTTCAGTAGCACAATCTAGTGTAATTCCAAGCTACAGAAAATAGGAAAATGTCCCCAACCAGTCCCACTTTAGCCATGAAAGCCAACTGGATGACCTTTTGACAGTCATTCAGCCCAATCTCTTTAGAAGATTGTTTTAGGGAAAACAAAATGGGAAGAATATTATGTATGTTTGCTGCCTTGAGTTATTTATAAAAATAATAAAGACAGGATTAATAAAATCTAAAAAAAGCAACACATGGGCCAATAGTTTAATTTGAGTAGACCTTTCTGACATAATCTACAAATTATCGGTAAGAAGAAATAGGGGAGACATGATAGCAGTATTCCAGTATTTGAGTATTTTGCCACCAAAAAGAGGGGGTCACATTATTCACCAAAGCACTACAGGGGAGGACAAAAAACAATGGTTGGAAACTGACCAAAGAGAGAAGCAACATGGAATTAAGGAGAAACTTCCTGACAGTGAGGGCAATTAACCAGTGGAATAGCTTGCCTCCAGAAATCGTGGCCGCTCCATTACTGGAGATTTTTAAGAACAGACAGTCACTTGCCTGAGATGGTATAGGTCCTCCTGCTTGAGCAGGGGGCTGGACTAGAAGACTTCCAAGGTCCCTTCCAGCTCTATTCTATTCTACAACCCAACTATGGCTCAATATATGTGGAACTTCCATGATTTTTCCTACATGCTGCCAATCTTCTTGAACTGCCCTAAAGTATTATTGAAATGAGATTGGTACATTACAGGAATGTTTACAAACTGAACAAAGCAGTGGATAAATAAAAATCCATAAATCCATAAATTCCAAATTGTTTAGTCCCCTCTTTTTTGCAACACTAAACCTTAAAGCTCAGTCTAGCAGATGAAAGAAAAAATCAGTTTACCTAAGTGTTGACAAAGAGCCTGGATGACATTAGTGGCAGCAGCATAGATGCCTGGATTCTTAGAATTCAGATTGTTATCAACCAAGGCAGGAATCAACATGTTGATAACAGGAGATAGTTTCTCTTTCAACAGAGGAATCAACTGGTGCATGGTCTCTAGAGCAACCTGATTGACTTTGCTATTTGAGTCATGTAAGCGAGACTTGAAGGCATCAAAGATCTAGACAGACGATTACAAAATAGTTTAAATTATTTTCTTTGAGCAAATATATATTTAAACTGTCAAGTTTAAAATGTGGAATCCTATGGAAAAGTGTTCTTTTCTATTAATTTTCAATGTAAACCTAAACAAGTTCTTTTTCTTTCATATATTGCTACACTGGTGAAATATCCTGAATAATTGTTGGTCAGCCAAAGGATAGCAAACCCCTTTGCAAATCAAGGACATACAACTCATATGTAAGCAGTTTTAAAGTTCTTTAAGCAAAATACTTTGCTCAAGAATACCTAAAACCCCCAACTATTAAAGGAATTTAAACTCCAAGAGATACTCAATCGCTTAAAGAGTATCTGACAAAGAAATATCACACAAAAGAAATAGAAAATAAACAATAACGCTTAGGATGATTGATCTGCTCACTTAAGGCAATTCATTTTGCAATGTGATAGAATTGGAGTTAATAAAATGCATGATATATTGACATGGTAGAAATAATTTGCAAGAATAGAAATATATGGATAAATACTATGACTGGTGCTGGAGTAAACTAGATTTAGCCAAATTTCTTTTTTATTTCTTGATTTCCTTCCCCCCCCTTTATTCTCATTCATTTTCCATGAATGAGACATAATGTATATAATGTTACTTATATAGCATAATGCAATATTTATATTTATCTTCCACATCAGTTATTTTACTTCACTGCAAAGCTGACAAGGAGTGATTCATGTAGCTATCATTTTCTGTATAAGCACTTAATACCGCAATATGTACATGGAAAATGTTGACCAATTACTCATAAATGTCTTATATTATGGTTTTAGCAGAAGTTAAAAACTGTAGTTAAATCTGTTTTCTGGCTAAATTGAGTGTCTCATAATATAATTTGAATCAACACAATTCTATGAAAGCTATGTTTAAAATGTTTGTAAACTTAAACTTTATCTCAGAATGTTTATAAAGAGGCAATTGAAATATTTGTTATTCAGTATTTTAAGTTCCAACATGCCTGGAGGTTTTGAAAAAATAAACTGTGGCTCATTTGTACAAGATGATGTAATCAAAGTTATTTAGGTAGCCTCTGAAACAATGAGCTTGAACTGCCCTGTCTCGATAAACTAGTGAAAGTCATTTTGAGTAACATGAAACTATTTTCCTATAATCATAAATTAATATAACAAAAAGGTTTACTGTGTGTATTGAACACTTCAGATAATGTTTGGGGAATGGAGTGGATTGCAATGATTTTGCCATTGGAAGTAAAATTGATCTACGATAACAATCTTGATAACTCTAGTCCATATTATCCCAACTCCTGAAGATATTTGTTTTTCTTGGCAATATTTCTAATATCTACAATTGATCAGGACACAAGAATCAAGCAGTATACTTTTTAGAGGTGTTCTGTTTATCATTTCCAGGCATCTCTTCCTTTGTTTTGTATTCTCACCATTATTAATTTGAGGTTTCCTGCTGCAACTATGATTCTATCTATTAGGTTAATGATTTACTTATATTTTCCTTATACTCATTTGTTTCTTGCATTTCTGTTATATTTTTCAGTTAAATAGCATAATTTGTCATCTACTTGATTTCCTGCCAGTTCTAGAGAGAACCCTGAAGGTTCTGGTGTGACCTATTACCTTCACAATGTTCGCAACAACAAGGTCTTGATTATTCTCTGTGTCTTCTAAAAGTTGTTTAATTCCATTAATTCGATCGCGGAAATCTTTTGCATTCAGTAAAGTGGTTATAAACTTTACATATTCAGCATTTTCCAAAGCATTGCGCGGGACTAATTTCCTGGACATATCACGTATTTCTCTAATCTCTCTGTTGAGAAAATAATGAGAGCATTCTGTAATAGTCCAATCATGGATCTTTCTTTATATGTACTGTATTACTTTAATAGATTTAAAGTTATTAAATTTATTACCTTCTAAAAGGTTACAGAAAAAAACTGAGTTCTCTGATCAGGTCAGTTATAACATTAATTTCATGTAGGCTAGTAACCAAATCCTGAAAATTTTTATTTGTAACACGAATACAAAGAAATGTACCTGAAGCTGAGAGTTTAATAGAACAATGACTGATATAAAAATTAAGTGAGAAAGGGGGATTCAGAAATTATCAACTGCAAATTCAGAAAGGGAAGCTCAGGAATAAGTTTATACAGTCTCAATTGAAGTATTTTTCATTGATTTGGAAAATATTTCTATCCTGCAGATCAAGTAGTGATTATGGTGAAACCATAAGCAATTCCATTAAATGAAATACCATCTACTGCTATTTTGAAAATAATTATATTTCTTGGATGATTCTTTTTTACTTAGGGGTAAGCTTTGCTTTTATAGAGTGTCAACAGTGACAAGCCAGTTTTTTAAAACCTTTCAAGTACTAATATAAGAAAAATGTTATTTAACATTTTGGCTTCTCACAAACAAAATGAATAAAAATGTGACAATTTAGTTATTAAAAAGAAGCAATCATATTGTCAAGCTACAAAAACAAACGCACACTATGCCAACCATGTCGCTCCATAGCTTGCCAACAGACCAAGGGGGGGGAAGAGTGGTGATGGAACGCACAGGTGGATTCTAACTGCATGGGAATCAAGGTTGTGCAAGAACTGATAGGGCGAGCAGAGATTTTCTTCTCACAACAACCGTCCAAAGACTAATTGGACAATGTGTCAAGGGGGGAAGGAAGATTTAGTCTTTTTACTTATTGTTCTGGTGCCATATTGCCAGAGCTGTTTTTCTATTCATCAGTGCCGGTATGCTGTACTCAATAAAGTTTTGCATTCGAGATTGGAATGTCTCGGCTGTGCTTACTTTGTTGGGATCACTAGCCGAAAATCTTGACACATATCATGCACATAAGAAAGAAGTTCTGAAATGTTAATTTAGTATTTTCTTTTGTTCCAATTTTTCTATGCCTAGTTTACAAACACACTCCATGTTCAATTTTCCACTTACACCGAACAAGATCAAGTAAAACTGTCATTCCCATTTATGTACAGCAACTGTATAAATGTTTTAAATAAACAATATTTTCTTTTAGATTTGCAACATCTGAAAGATGCTATGTGGATGGAATCTTTGAAGCAGGAGGGCACAACCGTACCTATCACTAGCACTAAGTACTTTGCGCGACATGTTTGATCTTGAATTGTCTATGTTGCCAGTATGAGAACGCCTTCCTTTGGCTGAGGGTGTAACTATTGGCATCTCTCCAAGTCCCTGAAATTATGTAACAAGAATAAAAAAAATGTTTATTTCAATTCTCTTTATATTGCCTCATATCTTCATTTGTTTCTAATACAATAACATCAAGAAAAAGGACATGTTTATAAAATAGGGGGGTTGCCTCAAAAAACTTCAAACACTTGTAAATATGTAAACACAGGAGAAAGTAGAGGAACAGAGAAAATGTAAATAAATTAAGAAAGTTCTGATAAAAAGATTTTACATTGCTTCTGATAAAAATAGGCTTAATGAAAACATTTAATGTTTCCTCTGTCCTAAAGCAAAGGACTTGATGGACTCAAAACTTATTTTCAAATTGAAATCCAAGCGCTACAAAACAGGTGTCCAGTCTTAATAGATCTCAAAGATTAACACATTCTAATTAAATAACAAAAGCATAACTAACATTTAAGTCAGGGACTGCAAAAGACATTACTTGAGAAAAGTTTTTCATAGAAACACAATAGCTAAAGAGGAACTGGAAAAAGAACTTTAAATTAAATCAAAAGGCAGAGAGGTATAATGATACTTAAAATACTGCACTTTTTAAACATAAATATTATTTTAAATTTATCCACGTCATATAGCAGCATGTTCAGTTCATTATCACTCCCCAAATAGGAATTTATGGCTTATTATTATTCAATTTTATTTTGGAATTCTTTTTAACATACCTTCTGACGCAAATTGCTGACTGTCTCTTTAACATAAGGCAAGTCCTTTGGCAGCACATGCTTTTCAAGCATTTTATCGAAGTCTGTGTGGGTCATCAAAGTGAAAAGCATCTTTCGCCCATAGTATCTTCAAACATCACAAAATAAGTTTTATTAATACATATACTCATGAAATTAATCTTCTAGATTTCTTTTAAACCAGATTCTTATTCTAAACAAAATACAAATGCAATAAAAAGAAAAGGAAAATTGACTTCTGGCTCGCTGCGTCTGCGGTCGTGTGAAGAGACTCGTCTTTTCACCGACCGATTTTCCTTCGCCGGTAGACCCCAAAGGGGGTTGAAAGTCGCCCTGGAGGGGCGACCACTGATGAGGGGGCTTGCTGGTGATTGCGGGAGGGCGGCAGCTTCTCCCGCAGCTCCAGCTGACTCCTTACGGCCAACTGAGTAAAGATCGTCCTGTAAGATGGCCGATCATCTAGCTGCATCAACCGAAAATCACAAGAACATCTAAGCATCAAGAACCACCGCTGATGATCCGGGTGAGATCCTTCCTTTTCCTCTCTTCACCCTATTTTTTTCCTTTTTTTGCCTGTAAAAAGCCTTCTTGGTACTACTTCCCTGCCCTAAGAGAGTGGTGTTTGTTTGAGTGGGAAGAAAAGCGTCGAACAAAAAGACAGAATAATTAACTTTATTGCCTATATTTTACTTTTAACTGGGGTCCCGAAAAAACCCTTTTATAGAGCTTTTATATATATATATATATATATATATATATATATATATATATATATATATATATATATATATATATATATATATAAAAGGAAAATGTGTTTTCTTGAAAGAATTTAACCCACTGAGGATATCTTGTGGTGAAACTTAAATACTGCAATTGCCCGCATTTACTTGGAGATGAGGTTGGTCTGACCTTCAAACTGTTGTAAAAGGGAAAAGATTAAGAAGTTTGCAGCTGTTAGAAATTGTGGGGGTGGACATTGGTTAACCTTGCTTAAATATAGCCTCCACTAAAAGATAAAAGGACTGCTTCTAACTATTATTGAAATGGAGAAACATTACTTACAACTAAACTGTAAACTTATATTGGAAAAAAATCATGAAGCCACTGAGCAAGTATGTGCTAAAATAAAAGAGATTACTGCAGAATTAAGAGTCAGAAACCTCACTACAAATCTTCAAACTGACTTTCAGACTTTAATTGACTACCCTATAAGTCAAAATACATCAGAAGAGGAATTAACCTATATTAACGAGGAAAATTATATTAACTGAGCCTTTCTGTGTCTGGCATGTTTTATGTATCAGAATACAACTGTCATCCTTCATACTAAATATACTTGCTTTAGGATGCAGCTATAGTCATACAAACCTTGGAGGATTTTTTTTTCCCTTAGACATTCCAGATTTCTGCTTTCTGGATATGCCAGAAAACAGAAATATAGAATATCTAGAAAGAAAATATGAACCAACATACTAACCAAATGTGAGTGATACGTGATTCTCTATCTTTCTACCATTCTTGCATACTTAAAGATCAATGGACATATGTCACTATTTACTAGTTTGTGAAATAAGAATAGTCTCCAAACAAAACTGTGAACACACACAGTATCAGATGTAGGAATTTATACTTTAGTTCCATAAAAAATATACGAAGATGTTATTTCCCATAAATGCAACAACTTAAGCAGAAGGATTTAATTCATTAATGTGAATGGCTAAAAACCTTTTAGCTGTTAAGCAATAATTTTTCCTCACATCAGTATTTTGGAATTTCTCAGCTTTTGTCGACAAAGTTTTCATGTCTCCTTCTTTTATGTAAAATACCCCATAAATGAGGCATCCAGAATGGAGAAACAAAAGGCCACCTTTTATAAAAATCTAAGTCAGTAAGAAACCTACAGAAACTTAAATCAGTGTTTTGCTGTATGAGATAAATTTTCACACTTGAAAATACCATTTGGGATTCTTTGTTTTTCTTTGATTTGTCATGCCATCTTGTTATTTCTTCAAGAATTAAGAGAGAAACTTAAGCTTTCATACAAAACAGAATCTAAAACATCTTCAAGTCCTTGATTATTTTCAAAAATCATGCCATTTAGCATTTCCCCTCACTCTCTGCATCTGCTCACCTTGTTTCTTGTGAACCATCCTGGACAAATTTGGCCACAGCAGACAAAATCTTGTCAGTTATATCTTTAATTCCAGACAATATACGTCCTGGTCCCATGTGCTCTACAACATCTGACAAATGTTGGGCAGTGCATCTTCTTACTGCTATATTTAAGTGGCTGGTAAGAATAAAAAGCATATACAGTTTAGAAAAATACACGATTATTATTGATTGCAACAGTGATGCTGAAAGACTTTTTGAAAATTCTTATGCATTTTACTAACTGAATCAAGATAACAAAGGCATAAAATCCCAGATATCTGGAGCTAAATTTAATTCATTTGGCTAGTAGCAATGCAAGACTCTTAATGTAATAGACCCATTCCAAACCACACAATTCCAATTTAAAATGCAGGTATGTTGCAGCAAAAGGCAGCTAGACAAGGTCTTTTTTTGGTCATTAAAGCTAAGGAAATGTCTTAAATAAAAAAGAAGTAACAATAGAAGAAATCGTGCTAATAAGTATGCTTTAATATTTTCTTGTGCAGCCATCGCTTGCTTATATCTTGCCTTTCCACTATGGCTTCCAAGACGGATGACAGAAACACTTAAACCAGCTTATGTACAGTGCAAGAAGGGAGTAAAAATAGTTAATTAAAGACATAAGGAAATATAGGCAAATCTAGTTTACACCTGAACCATCTACTCTACCTTTTATCTTTGATTCTATCATTGCTATACACTGCTTCATACATTTTTCTCTCTTTTTCAAGAGCTAATCAATTCTATCCATCTATAGTATATTAAAAAAAACACTTCACCATAACTTTTTAGGTACTGCTCAATCACTTTTTTAGTTTATTCTCATTCATCTAGCACTCTTTCATTCTTGACCCTATTTCTTCTTGTTTTACCTCACACACTTCTTGAGTACATCATACAAGAGTAACTTATGTAGCCACAAGCAAAGACACAAAAACTAAATCAGCTCTTCACTAAAATTATAAGATAGGTGGAGACCATCACTCTCATCTGAATGAGAGTGGTTTCTAGCTTATACATATCATGGACAAGAAAAAAGGTGGAACTTTTATTTTCCTATATTCCTGTTTAATAAATATTCTGTCTAACAAGGTACATAAATTCATCTAATTGCTCATTTTTTTCACTATTTAGGTACAGCTTATACTCATTCCATTTTCTGTGTTAAACATAGCTAACTTAGTCTTTGCTACATACATTTTCAAATTCCAACCTTTCAATGCATCATACAATCCACTGCTCACTGCATATCATTCATGTTTTCAGACAATAAAATATCACTTGTAAGCAAAAGTAAATACACATTCATATCCCCAACAACCATAACATTATTTTCATTACCAACATTATTTGTACATTTAACCTGAAGTATTTTAAACAATCAAGGGATTATCACACATCCTTAACTTACTTTTGTTGAATTATCCACTCATCCATTATTCTCATGCATACATTACTTCCATGATATATTGCTGTAACCATGTTCAGCAACCTAACCTTGACACCATATAAACGCAAAATGTTCCATAATTTGAACAGATTCACTTTACCATATGCATTCTCTAAATCAAGAAATGTACATTTTATTTTTTATGGTCTGTGCACTTTCTAGTTGGCATAAAGCCACATTCTACTTCTCAAATTTGCTCATTTTCATCTCTCGTACCTATGTTTAAAGGAAAAGAAGATTCTCTTAGATGAATCATCAGAACTGCAACAGGCTGAGCTGAAATCTGATAATGATTAGATTAGCTTGACAGTTCTACCTATTTTATTTTAAACAGAGTCAAGAAAGCCTCTGAAAGGCCATAATTCAAAATTCTACCTTTGACCTCCATTGATCAGAGAAGAAAGAGCACGTGCAGGAGTCACATTATTAACCATAGCTTTCAGTGCTTTGTCAACGTCCTCCCTAATGAAGGTGTTTGATTCCCCAGCCTTATGCAAAAGGACTTTAACTGTATTATCTAGTTCTTGATCCATGCTCTTTTTCAGGTAGTTGAATAAATCTCCTAAACAAACAACCGCAGCTCGGGAAACAACAGAACGTAAATTTTTCACCTACAAAAAAAACAACAACACCTGAATCAGCAACAGTTGACAAAACACTACTGCTGATTTTGAATCCCCCCACCCTATCCCCTATCAAGCCATTACATTACATAGAATGATATGTGTATACAACCAAGTTAAATGGGACATCACAATAACTGCTACAATGTAATACATTACACATTAAGCCGGATTAACCAGGTTTAAGTCCCACCTTCTGGAGATAATGAAAAAAGGAACTTGCCAAGAAATGCTTATACTTTTAAGTAACTATGTTGGCATTAGTTGTTTAATATCTTACTACAAACATATATATGTATGTATGTATGTATGCATGCATGTGTGTGTGTATATATATATATATATATATATATATACACACACACACACACACACACACACACACACTACAAATATATAGATTTGCCAGATAATTTTAGAAAAATGTAAATCCAATGTGCCACTATTATGAAAAAGGCAAACTCACTGTTGTGAAAATAAGCAAATGTTCCCTATAATTAAAAAAGGGAAAATGTATTGTGTGACAAACTTTAGAATATATAATGAGCTCTTAGATACCAGATGTCAACAAATGGTATTAAAGTTTTAAAAGTGTTGTTTTAACTGATATCCCAGAAAAGAACAAATAAAATGATCTATAGGCTGGATCAATTCTTGCTGGATCATGTCTTTAGATTTCTCATATCAGTTTTGGTGATCATTGTAGCATAAGAATATTTGAATAGACCGGCTTTTGGTCTGTTCTAGCAGACAGCCCTATGCTTAGCAGGGCTTAGATACAGGTATTCCTCAACTTACAACCACAATTAAGTCCAGATTTTATTAATTGTTGTGATTGATTGTGATTGTTGCCCACATGGCCATTTCACTCAACAACTGCAATCTCAGCTCTCCTCATTGCAATCATTAAGCTATTGAGCAAGTCATTAAACAGATGGTACGAAAGAGCTGCCTGCTGAAGGGGGGGGGGCAGGTTTTCTCCCTCAAGTGCTAGGCTGGAGAAAAGAACTCAGATCTTCATGAGCCGAGATTTTCTCCAGTGTATTGCTGGAGTTCCCCTCCCCTCCAAGCACAGAAGGGAACCAAAATCCAAGTAGGATTTTGGCATGGAGTGTTTGCAGCACTGGGCATTTAGAGCCAGTCCCCGGAAATTAGAACCCTTTTCACCCATCCTTTGTTGGCAAAGGTGCTGCCTAACCGATTGATGGGGAATCTCTCCACCAAGTAGCACTTTTGCTCTCAACAAATTGGCTGAAAAAGTCCCTCCGAGAAGGATTCCCTGCTTGGATTTTGGGAGGGACTTTTATCAGCCAGCCCCTAGAAACCAAAGAAATTCCTTTGGGCAGGCGGCAGTGGCTTGCAACCATTGCCTTTATGCAGTGGTGGGATTTCGCTGATTCGCACCGGTTCGGCAGAACCAATACCTACTTTTTTCTTGAATTCAGAGAACTAGTTGTTAAAATGGCACTTGAAAAAAGCGGAGCACCTGCCTCACACTTGCCCTGCATCCACCCTGCTCTCCATGGCGTGCTGCAGCTGATCCAAGGCGGCTGGCCAGGCACCAAAGCGCCGCCAAAAACAGCAGAGTCTGTGTGCACGCCTGCCTTGCCCGCATCAGCCATGCTCTCCACAGCGTGCTGCAGCTGATCCAAGCCGTGAGTGTGCAGCAGGCACGCACACAGACTCCGCTGTTTTTGGCGGCGCTTCAGTGCCTGGCCAACCGCCTTGGATCAGCTGCAGCGCGCCGTGGAGAGCATGGCAGACGCAGGGCAAGTGTGAGGCAGGTGCACACAGAGACTCTGCTTTTTTCAGTGGTGCTTTGGTGCCTGGCCAGCTCAGCCAATTTCCCTCTTTCTTCTCCCCATTTCTCCTCCTCCTTTGACAACAGTGGGGTTTGGAGGATGATCAATCCCCATTCGTGACATGGCCACCGACCAATTGCCACACCGCCTCTCAGGAGTGCAACACCAGCTGCCATTTCATAAAACTCATTATACCTTTGATGAAATATTACATTTTAATTCCCCCGAGTTTGTTACTTCAGTAAACAAACATATGTAAAGAGAGAAAGTGCCAAACAACCAGGAGGTGACAAGCTGTCATTTGTTTCAGCTTGGTGTTACGCCCAAAATTCCCTCGAGATATTATGAGTGTGCTGGTGTTCCCTGAAGGGTGAAACTAATAGGAAGCTAGGAGACAATGTACCAATAGAAATATAGATTTCAAGGGTTATCTTATTGCCCATTTCAGAAGCCGTGAAATAATGCTCACAACTTTCCCGTAACAGGTTTGTCATACACATCATTCGATTGTTTTTTGTCAGTCATTATTTAATATTTTTTCATTAATATTTTAAATCTTTCTTATAACATAATCTAGTTTTGTGTACCTCTTTTATTGTTCTTATTTAAGTATTAAATGCATTAAATGGCGAGGTCTAATTACTACTCCACCCTCATTGCGTCATCAGATAATCGCCCGGCCACCCTCTTTAGGGTGACCCACTCTCTCCTTCAGTTGAGGGGGGGGACCCCCTGGTGGGGAGGGCTGAGGATTTTGCTCAATATCTGTATGACAAAGTCGCTCAGATCCGAGAGGGTTTAGACTCCGACTGGGTGGCCCCAGGGGAGGAGACGGGAGCAGGTCTTGAGACTATTATATGGGAGGAGTTTGACTCTGTGGCTCCCGAGGACGTGGACAGGATCCTGGGGAGGCTGAATGCAACCACATGTTTACTGGATCCGTGCCCCTCCTGGCTGGTACTGGCGGCCCGGGAGGGTACACGAG